ATGTAGTAAAGAGCATGCTGGCACTTGAGAAAACAATTTGGTTTACATGAAGCTAGCACACATCTCGTTTATATGCAAACAATGAAAATGAAGTGAATTGTCTTTGGGCCAAGAGCAGCACATCCTTTCCCTTCCACTTCCTCCTTTGTGTGCTTTTTGAGCCAGAGCTGACAAATTTCCTTTCACTTCTATATTTATTTCCATTACTGGCCATACTAAAACTTAGTTTTCCCCGGATCGAAGTCCTAATTTCCACATGCGTATGTTTCTGTGTGTGTGTGTGTGTGTGTTTGCCTATACGTATTTGTCTGTATGTGTGGATATGTGCGTGTGCATGTGAGTGTGTGTGTGTCTGTATATAGCTACCAGTTTAGTCTAGCTATAATTAATTTAGCTGAGGCGAACACGCATGAATGTATATCTTGTACTTTGTATTACTTTAAGTACACAAATTTTTGTATTTTAATGACAAATATTTTATATTGCTTAGTCGTTAAATGCACAGATTTTTGAGTTAAAATACTTTGATATTTTGACCAAGTGTTGTTTTATCGTCGCGTTACTTCTCATCACTGTTGCATCTGACAATTTCTTCGTTCGTCTCTATTTGACCCGCTTTGACTTTTTAAAATAGGTGTTTTTACCGCGTTGTCAGCTTTAGATGTAAAAGCGTAAAACTTTGTTTAACTGAATGTGATACCGCCACTGCACAATGTACGTGTTTGATTAAACTTAATTCCGTTCATATGCACTAATATTCTTTTGTATAGTAACGAAATTTTGAGCACATTTGTTGAAGCGAAATTTTTGATTAGAGTGAAAGTTAGGATTAGAAAATTTTAAATTTTTATAACAGATTTAAACTGAAAAGACACACATAAGCAGACTGTGCATACTTGTATGCGCATCTTTTTCGTTTACACGGTTGAATATGAACTGTAAAGTGTAATCATCATCGCTCCATCTTCAAAGCAGGGTTTTTGCCACGAGAGCTATCAGTACGAAATGACATTTCACATAAATTGTTCGGAAATTGAAACATATTTTGCAGGAGTGCCAGTCAGTGCATTACGCTCGCCCTCCGTACCAAGTGCTAATTAGGACTTCCGAACGATTTAAATTGCTGCGAGCAAGCATCCGAGAACATCCGATGGCGGCTTCCTTCGCCTGGATAATTTTTGGCTGCAGCGGCCGAATGCAAATTTTACTTCTCTACTGGATAGTAGTGCTTGAAATTGGTGTTTGTAAAATGCATCGTTTTTTACCGCCACCAAAATGTCAGCGGATCACTGTGGAACAGTGCAAGGATCTGCCCTACAATGAAACAAGGTTAGAATTCTTTTAAATTTTTTCCAGCTGTATCAGTTCGGATTCCTCCAGCTCCAACTTTTCAGTGGTTTTAGAGATAAGCTGTGCTTCATTTCTGATATTCATTGATCTAGTCGCTAAAGTTTAAATATTTAAAAAGTTTTAAGAGTTTAAAAGTTTAGAAACCTCACTTTTAAGTTTAAACATGTGATTTTAAAATGGTATTACTTTTGCTTTTCTGCTCAAGTTTTACTCCTTCGAGCTGATTTTTACAGCTTCAGGTCTCGAGTGGGTCCTACACTACTTTAAACACTTTTTCTCCATGCCCGGATGCATTGGCGCCGCTTTGTCTTCTAATTTCATCGGCAGATCTTCCCTCCTTCGTTGATTTCTTCCATTAACCATTGTTTTTCTATGTTTATGCTCCAAGTGAATTAGACGCTTAATGTGGAGTATGTT